TCCGCATTTCTCTCTCGCTAGAAGACCACCAACACTACTGGACAACCGCTTATTTTTGGAAGAAACAAACAACGGATGGTTTTCTTTATTGAACAAACAATTTGTTATACCACCTTGCTCTTCCAGAATCCTGAACAAGCAGGCCTTTGGCTGATCTTCCTTTTTCACCCAAGAGCAACCTCAAGAAGCACCCGGTTTTTGCGGGTTGTTGGGAGACCACTGACCAGATCCCTTTTTCGGCGTCCTGAAACGGCGTTTTCGCGCTTCGCTTCGAACAATTCGGCCGAGCCGGGCCATTCCGCCGGAGAACTCCCGGAGCCAAGTGGCCCGCTGGAGCAGAGCTACGCCGAAGCGGCGCAGCTGCTCCTCGCCCGGTTCGGAAGGTTCGGAAGCTCAAAGTCTTGGGGGGCGGGGCGGGGGTGGTTTTGGGTGTTTGGGGGGCTGTTGGGGGTCTGGGAGGGGTAGTTGGGGGCGGGAGTGGTTTTGGGTGTTTTTTTTGGGCGGGGGGCGGGGTTGGGGGTTTGGGGGTTGGGTTTTGGGGGGGGGGGGGGGGGGAAAAGGGGGGAGGGGAAGGTTGGGAGTCTTCTGTGATACCAAAGTCTACTATGGATGGACGAAATGCATTTCGCACCACCCAAGAAACCCTGGAATGATGACTTCTCCGTAATACCAACAAACATGGTTTCATTTCGCGGCGCGGACGGAGTTCGTCCATCCACAGAAATGGCGACTTTGTCACTTCGAAAGGGGTTCCCTTGCTCATTATCACCTCAGATGCCCCGGGAAAAAAAGAATCGGCATCCTTTCTTTGGTTGGTACAAACACAGTTGGAAAAAAAAGGGGGCGAAATCCAACATCACCCGCAAAACAATCCTTTCTTTGGTTGGTACAAACAAAGCTGAAAAAAACAAATCCACTGGGGGCGATTTATCTACTGGTTGCAACTGGGTCACAGGTTGCCAACATCACCCGCAAAACTCTAGGGGTACCTTCCCCATTCTTTCCAAGAATCCTTTCCAGAAAACCTCCAAAACTCCAGGTTGAAAATAGATCAGGTTATTGAACAGAACGATGGTTGGAAAATGGACGCTGGGAACCAACCCCTAGATTAGCCGCGTTTCCGAGCCATTCTTCCCTTTAAAGGAACCCCTAGATTAGTCTTATTGAGAGTGTGACGCTGGGAACCAACCCCTTCCAAAAAACCACGCCGCCACCTCCTGTCTCGCTCCTCCGCCTCCTCGTCGATGCCATCCTCCCGCGAGGGCGGCCTTGCGGAAGCCCAGGTCCCGAAACCGAAAAAAATCTTTGTGGGGGGCCGCCAAGAAGCCGCTCCAAAATGCTCAGTTGCAACCAAAGGGACCTGGGACCAAAAGGCGATCACCTTTTGGGGCCATGGCAAAATATTTGGACCAAAAGCAGGGAAACCAAAAGGTCAGATCCGGTCGATTCGCTTTGGGCAACTGAGAATGAGCTTGACGGAAGAAGCCGCTCCAAAATTTGAGTTCCAAAATTTGAGTTGGACGGAAGGAACCCAAAAAGCTGCCCCGAAGTGAGCGTCCTCTAAACATGAGGGTTTGGGTTCCAGACTACTGGAACCTGATTGAATGTTTGGAACCTTCGGGAGCTATACGGACCAAAACTCAACAGGTTACACAAAGTTGATTCGTTTGCAAGTGAGGAGGTTCCCGACATTTCTCCTCACATCTCCCCAAAAGGAAACCCACAGTCAATTGGCCCTCGACGGTTGTTCAAACTTCAAACCATCCGGAAAAGCGAATGCGGCTTCAACCCTGCATGGGTAGAAACACGTTTTGGGGCCCATTTAAAGGTTCCCTGACACACGGGTCTGTCTTTTTGCGGGTACCGCCTTCTGTATTGTTGTTTTTTGAAGGGGAAACAACCGCGTCTGCAATTCGATCTCTGTCATCTTGTTAGGTGTGTTTAAAAGGCACATCAATATGTCAATGTGCAATTTGGGGTCTGTCCCTGTTTGAGGCTGTCCAAGTGAACCCAGCGTCGAATTGTTTATCGGATTCCCGATTTGGCAAGTCCCAAGCTACCAAAAAGGAGGTTATTTCTGTTTTTTTCTTTTTTCTGGGTGGTTCTGACTCTCAATTTAGCGCAACTTTAAGTTCACACAAATCCCAGCTCCTCCAGTAGAGAGGTTAGAATAAGGGTATCCTTTTTTCTGTAGTCTATTATTTTAGTAGGGAACTCTCCCCCAAAAAAAGTTGGTAAAAGGGCACTACTGGGGGACCTAGTATATTTGTGTTCATCCCCCCAAAAAAAACACGGTGGACCCAGGGCTTCTTTTGGATCCTGCATCTTTTAGCCTAGCGGGAGTCTTGCGGCTTGGATCCCCGGAGCTGCCTGGATGTCCCTTCAAAAGTTGATCCTTTGTTTTTTTACCGGTGGTGTCTTCTCGGGGTAGCGTCCAACCATTTCCACGGATTCTTAGAAAAACCACGACCCTGGGTCGTAAGGCGATCGGCTCTTGAAAAGAAGGATGGCTGAAAAGAACGGACAAGGAATCAACCCCTAGAGGTGTCCATTGAAACGATCACCACTTTTGGAGGTTCCAAAAAGGGAAAATGGAGGACACCCAAGTCTCCGTCCGAGAAAACAAACGAATCCCCGAAAGAGAAACCAAAGGGAAACCAAAGGGAAACCAAAGGGAAACCCAAACGGGAGCCACTCGCACGGCACAAAAACAAGACATCGGAAACCGAAGGGAAAGCAACGGGATCCCATGAATACTTAACAATCAGTCCCCAAGTGGGCCCATTTCCCAGTATAGTAGGTAACCAACCAGTCGTTCCTCTGGCTAGCGTTCCTCTGCCTAGGGGCCATGGGAGAGAAAGGACACTCCTTTTCTTGGTAGTTGGCTTCAAAGGGGAAAGTTGGTCACCACCTGGATCCCCAAGTAGCCACGTTTCCAGCCACTTTACCCACTAACAGCCCATAATTTGGCAAAAGTAGCTGAAAAATAAGGGCAACTCGGGATCCAGGCACCGGAGGCCTTGAAAACGTCGAAAGACATCCCAACGACCAAAACTTCCACCGAGCCGCAAAGCCAGCACCTCTGGCGGCACCAGCACCACCATGATGCAGCCGCGAGGCCGATTTGGTTAAAGCTCTGTGTGGGGAGAAAAAAATGCCGAACAACTTGGACTAGGTCCTCCAGATTTGAGAGGTTAGAATAAGTGGGTATTATTTTGTTTATCCGGTTTTGTCTAGTTTAGTAGGAGAACCCAAAACCAACCAAAAAAGTTGGGAGAGAAGGGGGCACTACTGGGCGACCAAGTAAATGGGGTGAGACTCTCAAATTCGGCGACCCTTCAATGGGATGATTTTCAAAATACACGAAACCGGACATTTTAGGCCCCCTATTTTGCAATGACCATGGGTAACTTTGCGCGTTTACTTGGGAAAGTCGGGCACTTGAGTGCAAGTGTTCGCTTGGTTGCTGTAACGACCCCCCTGCAAAAAGTGGACAACTTTTTGAAGGTTTTGAAGGTTTAGTGGAAAACCCCTTGATTTCAACCAAAAAGTTAAAGTCTAAAGATCCAACCCAATAGCAGTCAAGTGTTTGTTGAATGGCATCCTAGACAAGGGCTCGATGCTCTTACACCAACCTCTGTCATACCTTCCGTCGAAACCCAGAGCGAAAACCACGGCCCTTTCCTGTTCCTTGGTATCGTCCAGGTTAGGTACTTCTGAACCCGAGCTCATTTTGGGTGTGTTTTGGAGTCGGAACCCTTTTTGGTTGAAGGGAAACCAATCACTTTGAGGGTCCAAATCGCTATATTGGCACGTATCATATGGCTGTGGGTCAAAAACACGTGCCCAAAATGGCTTGCCCTGGTAAATGGAAACATGGACTAAAACCTGCGATCCACTTCCTGGTGACTAATTTTGACCCATACCCATCTCCATTTGGCCCGGCTTGCTTTCCCGTTGCTAACAAGCAGCCGGATGACTAACAACCGCCCGGCTTGGCTCTCAGCTGGAGCCTACGGAAACCAACGGCGCGTACATCTGGATAGAACGGGAAATGCACTCTTGCCGATTGAGACACTTTGGCAAACCTCCGGCCAATGGTGGTACCAACCACTTCTCTTTGATGCCAAAGTGGAAATTTGTGTCTTGTAGACACACCGATTCTCTTCAAGAAGGGTTTGTATACTCGGGGATTTGTTGTGTCCCCCCCCCCTCCTTTTGGCAAACCTACACCCGTGTGCAAACCCAAAAAAGAACTGTCCAAACCCAAGAAGTGACTAAAGTCCAGGAACTCCGGGAGTAGTGCTCCTGAAATCCTGAAATCCCATGTCCGCATCCCAAGCCCTGATTGGCGCCCTGATTGGCGCTTCTTGTTGTCAATCCACATTTTATGCTAGATCTCGTCTCTTTTGAGGCTTGGTACCCTTTTTGGTTGGTTTTAAAGGGACACCCGAGAGGAACACCACCATTGTTGTGGGCCCAAATTCCAAAAAAACGAGCCCAAATGTGAGTCTCCAAAGTCACCCGCTGAAAACTCACTTCCTGAGACTGGCTAAACACGCCAGTGAGAACCAGGGGTGTGTCAAAGTAAGATGGGCGTGGGTTTCCTTTTGGCCTCCCTTGCAAATAACCCCCTGAAGAAAAAACACGCAACCCAAACAAGGTGTCCTTGTTTGTGGCTTCTCTTGGAAGCACGTATCTTGGAATTTCTGTAGTATCTGTCTGCTCTTTCATTTCTTCTTGTCTCTCCTGGCTCTCTGCTTTGCTGGCTCTCGTTAACGGGGCACTGGCACCCGCACAAAAGAAACAACACCCCGCTACCATGTTTTGTCGGGAAATTGAACAATTATGTGGTGGCTTGTCACCCTGCAAAATGGCCCAACAATTCCCTCATGTTCAAACCAAAACCCGAAAAAAAAAAGGAAGAAAAAAAAGAAAAGGACAAAACAAAAAACGGCCTTTCCCGAACGGGCGTTTCTTCCAAAACCGGGGCTCCACGCCCACGGGTCGAAGCCCAGCAGGTTGTACGCGGGCAGGAAGGACTTCATGGTCAGCGGCCCTCGGATCGATCGCTCTGTCGAATCGATTCTAACATTTGGAATCCATTGCTTGAGGAAACCCTTGGGCCATTTTGCTGGGTGACAAGCCACCATATTTTTTGGAGGGCTCGACAGCTTTTTCGGACGACGGTTCAAGGCTTGGTTGACGTTAGAAGGGGAGCAACAATAAAACAAAATAGCAGTTCAGTGGTGGGATATTTCAACCACTAAACCGCAATAAGCAAAAACGGGAAAAATGTTTCCCAACAACAACCATGTCAACAGCTTTCCGACGACGCCCCCCTGTGGGGTTTCCCTTGAAACCAGCCCCAAAAGAAAACGGTACACTTCCGGCTTGGCCTGGAAGACTTGCGCTCGAGATCCAAACCCCAGAACTCGCACCCCTTGTGTCTTTGCTTTTGTGGGGTCCCCTTTGTTTTCCACGAACCAGGCCAAAAAGACGTCTTTTTTTGGCTGGGTCCTAGTTCCAGCCTAAGAGGTGGTCGATTTCCAGTTGGCCTTTCAAAACTAGAGCGAGGGTCACAATTACTCGATTCCCCTATTGGACATGGGAAACGTGGTGAGATCCCCATGTCCCTGCCAAATGCATGAGAGACCAACAAAAACCTACTAACCTTGAACACTAGGGGGCCATGACTAAAACTGGTTGCCAAAAAGAGGAAACTACTAGATTCGCCCCGGGCAAGTGAGTGAAATGAAGAGAACCTGCTGACACATCAGCTTTCAGGCAAAACACATCAGCGAACCCGAAATGGCCATGTGTCTCTTTTGCTGGGGACACCCCAAAAAGGGGTGGGGGCTCCCCTTGTTTGGCCTTCCTTCACAAACCATAAGACAAACCGGGCATCCCGAGAATACACGAGCCACCCAAGCGGTGGAACATGCCCGGACGTGTTAACCTGAGGCCACCCGCCGTTGATGGGATGCACCGACTGATTGATCTCGGATGCGGACGCTCGCTCGAACATCCCGGGCAGGAGGAAATGAAGGTGAAGGAGGAGGAGAAGGAGGAGGCGGAGCACGGCCCCCCAGCTTCAAAGGGTTTGGTAATACCTCGGGCGGTCCTTGTTCGGCCGCGACTCTTTCAGGACAGGAACATCTAGAGGACATGGCCGCAAAACGGAAAGAACATTTGACGGTTTTCCGACAGTTGTTCGGCAGAACATCCTGTAATCCGATCCGTTGAAGCTACTCCACGCACACCCCACTCAAACCCCAAACCCCCGCTTCGCCCAAAGACGAAGGCTCCGAAAAATGAAAGAGGGACTCCCCCCCAAAGTAGAAACACGAACGCGCCCAGGGACACGTTTCTAGGGGTACCTTCCCCATTCTTTCCAGGGATCCCTGAATTATTTTCAGGAAACCATCAACAACCAGGGAAAACCGATGGTTGTTTGAAAAGAACAATGGTTGAAAAGAATGGACAAGGAACCAACCCCTAGAATGAACATGTGTTACTTTCACTTCCCGGGTGGCTAGCCCCAAAGGTCCCCAAAAAATGGCACGGGAAAACCAATCCCGAAACTGGTTCACATTTGGGCGTCTCATATTTTTGAGTCCCCAAATGGCCCGCTGGGGTCCGTTTTGTGCATGCCTTTGCCAACTCAAAGAAGGCTTGCCATGAGAAACTCCAAGTTCCCACTAGCTCAGCCCCAATTGTTTGCCATGAGGAATCGGCTGCCTTTGCTTGACTTTAAAGGGAAACCATTCCTACTGTGGATGGATGAAATCCATTTCGCACCAAGTAGAAATCATAGGAAACCATTGGTGGTTGGTATTTACAAGGGAATCATGATTCCCGGGTTTCTCAGGTGGTGCAGGAATTTGTCCATCCACAGGGTGTCCTTTTTGGGAAAATAGATGGCCCTAGTAGTTGATTGGGGGATGAGGGGTATGTGAACACCAAGCTACCGCATGATTATGGGAGAAACGTGCCTCTCTCTGTGTGTGTTGTGTGGTGTGTGTGGGATAGTACTTAAGACGTTTCACTTGACCAAACCCAAGGACCCTAAGACGTAGAGATGTTGCCCAGCACCTCTGATGCGGTGACATTCAACTAGGTCCTCCAGTAGAGGGGTTAGAATAAGGGTACTGTCTTTTTGCTGTTTTGTCTATTTTAGTAGGGGAGCAAGCCACCCGAAGGAGTTTAAGAGTCTAAACACCAATCCTCCGTCGTTACCTGTGAGGCATCCATCTGCATGATGGTCCGGTTGTGGTCGCGAACAAACTTCCGCATAACTTCAATACGGGTCAAACCCAACTTCTGTATAACCCAGGGACACTCTGGGAAAAGATGGGCTTTTAAGAGTACAAACAAACATACGTTTCATGCAAGCAAGAGCTGTTGGACAACTTGCTGGTATATTCAGTCAACAACAATATCTTAACGCTGTATCAGATGGAAGATAATGTCACGGTTGATGTCAATATATTCAAGCAAGGTTCCCCTGACCTTCCAAGCCTTGGCATACTTGGCAACACACCTTCTTGCAGTAAGTGGAGGTCAACATTGACCCTCATTCACTTCCGGTAGATGACGCAGTATTGATATTGACCACTACTCATGATCAGCTCATCTCCTTTGGGGGGCTTGACTTTTTTATTATTCTGGACATGCGACCAAACAAAAACAACCAAGCACCCCAAACCAATCCCTCAAAATAAAAACAGTGCTGGCAGTGGTGGTGTGTTTGGGGGGCCTGCATGATCCACAAATGCATCCCACAATTTTGTTTTGGGGGAAGCTACCTGGAGGTGACCCAAAAAAGACGTCTTTTGTTGACCCCCTTTGCGGGTTGCGTCTTAGCCTGCGCGGGAGTAACAACCGAATCAAGTACGAGGGCCTGAATGAATACCCACATGCATGATCTTATGATCTTGGCTGAATTTGTTCTTAGATTGCCTCGCAAGCCTATTGCAAATGCCGCAGTTCCGCAAGCTGCTTCAGACCTCCCTACCTGGAATTGAAACCAGGGGACCCTTGTTGTGGTTCAATTTTAACGGAACCCCCCCCCCCCAAACAAAACGGGCTGTTGACGGATACTTAGCGGCTTCAAAACGAGCCGCGCTCTAAAGACAACGATGTCGCAATCAATAAATCAGCCAGCAAATGCACCTCAGTTGTTCAGCGACCCTGGAAAAACAGGGAACCCTTTTATGGGAAGACCATTTTGAGTGGGGCAGCCACAAAAGAGGGAAAACGGGTGCCACTGAACAACTGATCATGAGGCACAGACAACACAAAATCCTGCTTCGATCTGCTTTGTGCCGCTTCTCCAAAAAAACATGTCGTATATTGGACCCAGAGGTGGGAGGGACATTCTTCTCACTTGGCTCCCGGCGTACCAGGACACAACCTTGGCGCTCGCGTCTGTCCAGAGGTCATGGGGCACGGGGGGTCTTTCGCTTGGTACCCATGAACATCGGCTTGGTTGAAAGGGACAGGGGACAACTGTTGCGCCATGTGGATTCAACATATTTGTAGACCACAAGTGCATGCAAGTGCGGAATAATCTTGGAACCTCAAAACAGGGGTGCTTTGTTTTTCAAATCCTTCAAATGGAGATCCAGACTCCCGCACCCCTATCTTGAAGCTTTCCACCAAAGATGCCGCAGGGACCCCGGCATGTCCCTCAAGAAAGGCCCAATCTTTTCGAGCGAAAGGGGGGGGAATAGGACCCATGGGGCCTCAAAATGGAGTTGGCCTTCCTAAAGTTTCACAAGCCACACACCGCAGCGCCGGTGAGGCCAATGCGCAGAATGAGCATGGCAGACAAGCTTCAGTCAGCCTAGTGTCACCGGTGCTAGCTTTGAAGGGATAGAATAGGGGCATCCTCAAAATGCCGCAACGGTGCTCCTTATCATGTTCGTTCAAGGAAGAAAACACAGCCCCGAATCAGGCCGGCCTTCCAATGGAGATCCAGTCCGCCAAAAGGGGAGATTACAGGAGCAACATGAGGGTTGTTTGGGTTCCATGTGTTGAAGAAATGTTGTGGGGGAGCGGTCCAAGGGAACCCTAAGGAACCCTAAACAACCCCTAAAAAAACCCTAAAAAACTCTAAGCTTGCACCTACTCGCCTTAAGGAATCCCGAATCCATGCTAACCAAGAACCAGCCGGAGAGTCCAAGTGAGCCAGACTGTGCAACAAATAGGCTTGAAGTCAAAAGGGAAAAGGAAGGAAGCCCATTTGGGGGACCCTTTTTTGGGTTTCACAGGGGTGCTTTGTTTTAGGAACCTCGAAAATAGTGGTTTTCCTTGTGGTTGTCCTTTAAACCAACCCCAAACAGAATACCCTCGAAAGAAAACTGACATCCCCACCTGGGCAAACATATGCAAAGCTATCCATTAAAAAGGCGTGTCACCCCATAATAAGGCCCCATAAGATGTTGGGCTGCAATATCCAATTTTTCAGGGTAACATGAAGGGTCCAGGCATATTTCCCTTTGCCGAAGGAAAAAGGGGTGGGTTGCCTTTAAGCTACCCTCAAAAAGAAGACCAGACCATATTAGTGGAGAGGTTCGAATTCGGGTACCCTTTTTTCAGTGGTCTATTTTACTAGGGGAACCCTCCCCCAAAAAAGTTGGTAAAAGGGCACCTAGCTGGGGGACCTAGATATAGATTTGCCATGGGCCACGGGTTTCAGTCGACTTCGACCTGGGCCCTCGGCCCGCGGGCACGCCAAGTTCTTCCGCCGGCAGATCATGTACGCCTGCAGGGGAGACGCGGTGCTGGCTCCAAAATCCCTGGCACTAACCTAGACAAATCGGGAAATGGTGCGATTTCCCAAAAGGCAAAGGGCTAAATGATAATTGCATAACCCTACCTCTGATCCCAAAGTGGTTGATTCCCATCCCCATAACTACTATGACTCACTTTGAGTATCACTTTAAACCGGGCTGGCCGCTTTCAGATCTCCTACTCAATGAGTGGGTTAAATACGGACAACAACTCAAAAGCTAAGGAACCGGATGGCTGGGCGCCACCAAGCAACTAATTGTCTACTACGGCGAAATAGAATTGTGATTGTGGGGGGCTTCGCCAAATCTAGTGGTAATTCTACAAGTAAATGGCTTGTGAATTGTTTGGCCCCTGTTTGGTGGTGCAATTTCCTGCCATGGAACATGTGTCCAACCGCCCCTACTATAGCGGGGGGGGTTCCCCCAATCAAAGTCAAACCAGGGTCACCATCGTTTTGATCTCTTTTGGGGGTACTCCCACAGAATGGATGTGAACATCTCCAGTGTCCTGTATTCTACAAGAAATGAAACGAACAACTGAGACCCAGGAACATTTCACCTACAAAAGGACGCCTAACATGGCTAACTACGCAGGCTTCCATTCGCTCCAGTCCGCCAGAGAAAGCCATGTCCAGCAGTGAAATCAAGGAAAATCCAACAACTGCTCCGAAGCAAATGGCATGGTGGCGGATTGTTTCCAGCTTCACCCAGGCCTTTACAAAGTTGGGGTGAGCATTCATTTCCACCCGTCTCAGCTCCACCGCGCGCACATCGCGACCCCAAGGCGCCGCCTTGGAGCAGGAGTACTCCAGGCAGGTTCTCAGGTTCTCCACCGCGAAGGCCCCGTGCCCCAAGATGCCCTTGGACTCTTGTCGAACTCGAGAGGCGCGTGGAGCGAGCCGCCCAGAAACTGGGGGGGGGGGCCTTGAGAAATGGAGTGCGGTGTTCCCTGTTTGATTTCCCTTTAGTCCCAGGATCAAACAGAAGCCCAGGACCAGTTCCTGGTCAGAGGTCATGTTCCTTCCGGGAAACCATGGGAACTGTAAATCAAAAGGGGTTCCTCATGGATGTGGACGTCCCCTGTTGAATTGCAAACAACGTCTTGCTTGCCTTGAAAGCTTGATGCTTCTCAGGGAAGCAAACAGCTATTGGCAATGAACCCATAACAAAAACTCTGTATAGGGGTGACTCGGTCCTTCCACCAGCAAGCAACAAACACGGTCACTCGGCTTTTGGAGCCCAGGACATCATTACCCTTTATATAGTGGCTACATCGTGGTATATACAATTTTAGGGGATAGTAGTTTAGAGGTACTGAAAACCATCTTAGGCGATGGGCATAGCTACCAGCGCAGCTTCCGATTCCCCAACGAGGAACACTGGGTCACTGGGTATAACCACTGCGTGCCATTGCATGGTCGAATCCAGAAACGAGTTCCGCAGCGCAAGTCCCAGGAAGTACATTCGCCGATGCAGTCGGTAAGCAACGAAACAGGCAGGTGAACAACAAGTTTCCACTTCCCCAGTGAAGTCGCAGAAGGGGTGTTGGGCAACTCGCCCAGCACTCTCTGCTATAGTCCTTGGAGCGGCTTGGGACACTTCACAGGAGCGGCGGAATCTATGCACAACGGAGGAAACACAGGCCCCACCCAGGTTTGAATCGAGCCTCCTGTTTTGTCTTTGTCTGTTGTTGTTGATTTTTTGTTTCTTCTCTCCTTTTCTAAATAAGATTATTTGGGTGGTGGGATCACCATGTTGACACTTCCGTTGGCGCCTTGGCCGGGCGCCTTGGCCACGTGGGAATCCACGCCCCGCGACGCTCGCCGGGGACCCGGCCACTCGCTTGCCAGTGACCGCCTTGTAATCCTTGGGCGAGAAAAGCTTCGGGGCTTGGAGGCCAAAAGAAGGCGGAAGAAGCGAGGCGCGCAACAAACAAATGTAACTCACTGGCTGAGTGGATGGCCCAAAAAAAGTTCGAACTGTTTGTTTACCACTAAAATGGTCTTCCCAAAGAGTTTAAAGTTCATGAACTCAGGAAGTGAGGCAACCTAGCACCTGCGACAAGGGTACCTGGAAGATCAATTTCCTCTTGGAGGGACTGGGTTGCTGCGAGTTGCCATGGCAGGGTGGGAGAGAGGGTACGATTTGCACGGTTTGTGCATCGCTTTACCCCAATTCACTCCTCGTCGTTTTCCACAAAAATGGTCCAAGCCCAAAAAGTGACTACGAAACGGAACTCAGGGAGTGACTAAGCAATATCATCAGATCATCTAATGTCTGAAAGTCATACGTATATTTCTGACACACCTTCCCAGCAAATCGCCTGCCAAAGCTGGCACGGTGTGGATGTGTCTGTTTTTGAGCTGCATAGGGAGACTAGCGCAGAGTCTACCCTAGTCTTCCCTCAAAGATGGAAATGGAACCACTGGAATTTCAGGGGTCACCCCTCTCCCAATTCCGGGGGGGGGGGGGGAATTTGGATGGGGATGGGAACAAGTTGAACACCAGAGAGCTGGGCGATCAACTCCACAACGACTTTCTGGTGAGAGTTGAGGCTTTCCGTGTGCGAAATGCATCTAAGCGGCAAAGTCGTTCATGATGGCGTAAGAGATGGGTCCTTCAAAGGTGTCCTGCCCACCGGCTGACCGAATTTTTCGGCCAACTTGGACTTGAAGCATTTCGGGCTGAGCGCAGATTACTTCCCCGCAGGGTTGTGGGGAATGACTCCACTTCTGTGATACAACAGAAAGGGCTTCCCAAAGACTCTTTTGTTCTTATAAAGGGGGATTCCCTTGTATCACAGAAGTGGTTGGAGAAACCCCGAGTGATCCCACAACCCTTATTTCCCCCGTGTTTCCAACCAAAAAACCGCGGTTTGGTGATTTGGATATTTGTGGCTTTGGTCCTCAGGGAGTGGATCTCATCCATCTGCCCT